GAACAGTACGAAGGTAATGTTCGCGACGGTTTTGGTGTATCTATCAGGCGGAACCAATATTGTCAAATTGGCTGAACAATTTGAACTAATATATTTTCATTAATAATATTACACGGAATAGTTAAAAATTTAATTTTATTATATAAGCATCTACGTCTCTTTAATTTTTGGAAACGATACGATTTTGGCTACGATGAAGCGTATCTAACAGGCGGACTCAATCATGTCAAATCGGCTAAACAGTTTGATCTAATAAATTTTCGTTTGATGAAAATAAACGGAATTATTAAAAATTAATTTTGTTACATAAGAATCTGCGTCTCGTTATTATTTTGATAACGATACGATAACAATACGATTACAAGGTATTGAAGACTATATATTGATATAATAAAATCATGTGCACAAGTATGTGCACAAGTTGTATGATGATTTTTGAGTTTTTGAAAGATAGTATTTGAACATCGCGCAATAACAATGACGCTTGGCACATTTACAGTCTGCCCTTAGTTGTTTTCCCGCCAACTCCGCTTTACAAAATGTACTGTATTAAAACAGAAAAAAGTTAAAGGTCAATTACACTCTTCCAAAGTTCAGAGGATTCAACAGAGCGCAAAACATCGTAAATGAACATCGTGCTAAACGACGCATTACACACGAAGCATGTGATACGCGGGGATATTTTTGTCTTATTCGAACCCGGTTACTGCGAAACAGCACCAGGCGACCTTAACCATTAGACCATCACTCCGCCCAGTCATTTTGCCCAGAAAACAGCCATTCAATTGAAAAATTAAACAAAAGTTTGTTTTGTTCGTATTTTTTATTTGATACGAGACTTTTTGGAGAATGTCTCGTTTTAATAACGATAAGATATTTTTAGAGTCTTTATTAAACCAAAGTCATTCCATTGGAAAAAATTAAATAAGTTTTAATATTTTATAACACTTTATTTTTTTACAATGTGCACTTTTACCATTTCCACACATTGAAATAATGGTACGAGACGAAAATTGTGTCTTTTATTTTTTATTTCGATATGATAGACTTTCCTAAAAATGTCTTGTTTAAATAACGATAGGAGATCTCTGGTATTGTTATTAAAGGATACGAGATTTTTCGTATCGTTTTATAACGATACGAGATATTTTTTTACCGTTATTATTATTAAATCTCTGTCAATTGGTAACGAAAATAACGGTTCGAGACGCAGGTGCATAGTATAAGATTCTATATATTATTTTGTTGACATCATAATACAATTTTAAAAATTGTACAGTATATAATGGAAAATTTTAAAATTGTGTTATACTTTGATTTATAAATTAATTTTAATGAACTCGGTGAATTAAACAGGAACTGCAAAGAAGTATTGGACTTAATTATGGAAGTTTTTGGTCCTTGTTATTATCTCGCAAACAACCTAAGTGCACCACAGTTTTGAAGTTTCCCGTATCTGATGAGTTACAACGTCATTCCTGCTCTTGCTTGTAGTATAGTTTATAATTTGATTAACACAAAATGGCAATACCAGAATAGAATACCGTGATTGTACTTTTTGGACTTTTTTAAATTTTAGATGTTTTTTAAATTATGTTTTGAAACGGAATAAAATTAAGAAAAATACTTTTAAAAAATTATGCTGCATGTTTAAACTCTAGTGTTACTTTCGAAAAAAATGTTCATGTTTTAATTCTCGTGTTTTAATTCGCGGCATTCTTTTCTTTTTTAAACGAGTTATTTGCTACAAATTTTTGTACCAGATCCCCGTTTTTTGTTGGCTTCTCTAAAAAGAATTACGTTTATACTAATATAAATTGTTTTAATTTCACACGTAGTGGTAGTTGATGACTCAACTTCCTTCATTGTTTTTGGCCCAAGGTGACATAAAAATTACATCACGAAACGGACCGGATTAGCGTAGATCCAGATGTTTATGTTTCGGCAGTAAATACCGTCAGTGAAACAGCACGTTCAATCCAGGACGTTGCTCGTCAATAGTTTTATATTTCTGATGCTGCGTCACATCAGAATTTGTCAAATGGAGACATTGGTCCATTGTTAACAGCTCAACGTAATCGACAAATTTTTAGTGTTATTTTGGAACAGGAAATAGCGAAAGAGTAGGCCTGTTATTTCAAATCAGTTAAACCTGAAAACGAAAACGACGAAACCAAGTATTCATTTGACATAACTATGGCGTGATGGCTCAAAGATTAAAAGCGCCTGGTCTTGCTATTGCATTGACTGGGTTCGAATACAAAGAGATCCCCGCCTATCGTATGCAATGTGTATGATGTGTGGTTTGCACGCGTATTCATATACGCTCTGTGTGTTTGTCGTTGAAACCTCTGAAGCAAACGCAAAAGAGAGAGAGAAACCTTTAACCTTTATGGTGATTATTTAATTACTTTCTTTTTCGTTGTAATGATATTTGATGCTAATAACATTCAACCCCAACCTGTGTATCAATCAACTTCGATATTGGGGTTTGTTTATAACATTTGTTTGTTACATTTTGAAACCGCAATTTTTTTAACGTTAAATAAAAAAAGTTATAAATATTTTAGTAAATGAGTAATTAAGTCATATCACACACACAAACACATTTATATAAAAATATGGATATATAGGTACATATATAATATATATATATATATATATATATATATATATATATATATATATATATATGTTGGTAATATATATATATATATATATATATATCTGTACATATATATATATATATATATATATATATATATATATATTTATATATATATATACAAAGATTATTCTATTCCTTTCTACATCTCTGGTGATTTTAACTTGCACTTCAATAATTTATCATGTTCTTACACTTGTAGGTTTAATGATATTTTGTCTCTTTTTAACCTAACTCAATATTGTTCTTTTCCTACCCATACTTCTGGTAACACTATTGATTTTATAATAGCTTCATCTTTTTCTAAGCCTATTAATATCTCTGCTAGCTCTGTTCCTTACTCTGATCACCTTCTTATTGAATCTGTTTTTTCATTAGATTTTCTTCCTTCAAATTCATCTATGTCTATTTCTAAAAGATGCTGGTCT